ACTGCCAGGCCACACTGACCACGTCCCCAAGTGCCACATCCTCCAGCGATGGGGACCCCACCACCAGCTGGAGAACTCCCAGTAAAGAAACTTTCCTTAATATCCATCCTGAGCCTCCCCTGGCCCAGCCTGAGGCCGTTCCCTCTGCTCCTGTCCCTGTCCCTGGCAGCAGATCCCAGACCCCCCCGGCTGTCCCCTCCTGCCAGGGATTGTGCAGAGCCAGAAATTCCCCCTGAGCCTCCTTTGCTCCAGGCTGAGCCCCTTCCCAGCTCCCTCAGCAATTCTCCAGCCCTTTCCCAGCTCCCTCAGGGATTCTCCAGCCCCTTCCCAGCTCCCTCAGCAATTCTCCAGCCCCTTCCCAGCTCCCTCAGCAATTCTGTCAGGGTGACAGGATGGCAGCAGGGGTGACAGGACACAGTGTGAGGGTGACAGGACACAGTGTGAGGGTGACAGGACACAGTGTGAGGGTGACAGGACACTGTCAGGGGTGACAGGATGGCAGCAGGGAGTCCCGGGGCACTCACGCTGGTGGAGCTCAGGGCTCTGGCAGGCAGCGAGGTGACAGCGTGTGTGGGGCCAGGCTGAGGATGTGGCACACGGAACAGGCTGGCCCAGCCGTGCTCTGTGACCTCCAGGAGCCACCAGTGATGTCATGGAGCAGCTCAGCTCGGAGGAGACCACGGGCAGCACCGAGACCAGCCCTCCCCAGCACTGCCAGGCCACACTGACCACGTCCCCAAGTGCCACATCCTCCAGCGATGGGGACCCCACCACCAGCTGGAGAACTCCCAGTAAAGAAATTTTCCTTAATATCCATCCTGAGCCTCTCCTGGCCCAGCCTGAGGCTGTTCCCTCTCCTCCTGTCCCTGTTCCCTGGGAGCACAGCCCGACCCCTGACACAAGTGAAATTCCAGTGGGGGAATGAAAATATTACTTCAAATTTGCTACAGTGTAAGTTGCCTGATTTTTCCAGAACTGAAACAAATATCAGTCAGACCAAAGATAAACCAATTTAACATTTGTCAATGGTGAGCACATATTTACCCAGCAGGGAAACGCTCAGCTCCTCTGTTCAGCGCTGCCAGGGGCTCCTTTGGCTCACTGCACACCCTGGGTATCAAGCCTGGGGTTATAAATACCTTTAATGGACTTAGCAACAGGTACCTACAATCCTCTCAGAGACAGGAGTTTGCTTTCCTAGCACTGGATCCAGTTGGCAGGGGAGTTTTTATTGAATTGTAGTTGTGATTCTTTCCTGAACCAGGCTACAAAACTTGACACAGTGAAAATAATCAAGTCTAAACACGTTGGAGCATTTCCTTGCTCAGAGCTGCAGGATTTGGATTTCCACGTGCCATCCCTGACAGCACATCCAGGTCACCAGGGACTGAGCCCGGGCTGCCACTGCCACCTCCAGTGCCAGAGAGTTTTGCTCTGAGAAATCAACTCCCAAAACCCTTCTCTCTTCAATTACTTCTACACTTATGATAAACCCAGAAAGAGTGGGGGGGAAAAAGGAAAAACCTTGTTCCTCAAGAGAGAATTACATGGCAAAGAAGGACTAAAAGGAATACCCAATCAATAATTTGTGGGACAGGAAAATAAAATGCAAGAGCTGTTAAAAAGCAGCAGCTGAAGGAGCTATGGCTGCAATAAATTCCATTTTCCTGAGTTCACACACACCAAGTGTCAGGCTCCCTAGCATGACAATACTGTTGTTATTCCATGGCACAGGTACACTGTAGTTACAGGAAAGAAATTCCTGTGAATGACTCATATTTCAAAGTGAGAGCACACCTCCATGGAATCTGCACTTAGGGATGGTTTATTTCCCACCACATATGACACTGCTGTTTTCTCTACTTGCCCCCAAAGTATTAAAAAGAAAATTAGGTGAGGCACATCTAATTACAGCTTTAGGGCTTTCTGATACAGGAAAAGGTTGAAGATGGTTAAAAGAACAATGGTGAAGAACAATAGGAAGAGGTAAGTGACAAAAAGGTTCAAAACTGTAGTGTTGAACAGTTTCTCCATTCAGTTTGGCACTCAGGAATAGCACAGAACTGCCAGCACAGAAATCAATCTATCCCAAAGCTCCACACCACAGGAGCTCCAGAGGATTCACACTGCTGGAACATGTCCAGACTGTGACTTTGGTGACAGCAACACAGGAGGTGGAAACCTTCTTGTACTGAGCTGGGGCTTTTCTTGAAACATTTTTTACACAAAGCCAAGAGAGTAAATTATTGTTTAACATTTCTTCCATTTGGAGCGAGAGCATCAAGGCACGGTGTGATCAGAGGTGGGGAGTGCCCAGAGCCGAGAGCTGTCCCCAGGTGTAGCAGAGGTGACACCGGAGGGGTTTGGAATGGAGGGGCAGGGTCACTGTCCCCAGTGGCACAACGTCCCTGCAGAGAGGATGAGTGTGGTTCCTTCAGCCCCTGCTGCACCAGGGGACAGAGCCACAGCACAGGAACCAGGAGCAGATATTCTGTTCAGTTTCACACCCAGCCACAGCACAGGGGACAGCAGTGTCACAGCTGGCATGGGACCCAGAGCTCAGGCTGGGGAAACATCCCCAGGACGAGATGTGTTCCCAGAGCCGGCTGGAAGCCACTCACACCGTGCTCGGGATGTTCTCAGGGGACACTGAACCTGGGCTGGTGTCACACTGAACCTGGGCTGGTGTCACACAGAGCCTGGGCTGGTGTCACACTGAACCCGGGCTGGTGTCACACAGCCTGGGCTGGTGTCACACAGACATGTGCTGGTGTCACAGAGCCTGTGCTGGTGTCACACTGAACCCGGGCTGGTGTCACACAACCCCGTGCTGGTGTCACACAGCCTGGGCTGGTGTCACACAGAGCCTGGGCTGGTGTCACACAGACCCGGGCTGGTGTCACACAGAGCCCGGGCTGGTGTCACACTGAACCCGGGCTGGTGTCACACAGAGCCCGGGCTGGTGTCACACTGAACCCGGGCTGGTGTCACACACCCCGTGCTGGTGTCACACACCCCATGCTGGTGTCACACAGCCTGTGCTGGTGTCACACACCCTGTGCTGGTGTCACAGAGCCCGTGCTGGCGTCACACAGCCTGTGCTGGTGTCACACAGCCTGTGCTGGTGTCACACAGCCCGTGCTGGTGTCACACACCCTGCGCTGGTGTCACACAGCCTGTGCTGGTGTCACACAGCCTGTGCTGGTGTCACACACCCTGTGCTGGTGTCACACACCCTGTGCTGGTGTCACACAGCCTGTGCTGGTGTCACACACCCTGTGCTGGTGTCACACAGCCCGTGCTGGTGTCACACAGCCCCAGCCACACGGGAGGGACTCACTGGCAGGACACAGCCCCGTGGGTCCCCCCCAACACAGGGTGAGGTAAAGCCTTCACCCAGCCCAGCCCCAAAGCACTGCTCACACCCCAAGGAAACACTCTTTGCCAGCTCAGGATGTTGAGACTCTTCCCCTTCAACGACTCTTGGCCTTTTTTAACTAACTTATTCTCCTTCTGCAGAAAATTACAGCCATTTCATGTCACTCCAGCAGATGTATTTCACATTTTCTAAGGTACTGCACTACTTGTCACTCTTCTCCAATCTTTAGGTGTGTTTTTCTGCCACTGCAGAACTGAGACAGCAATAAACCAGGAGACCCTGACTCAAAGCAGTCTGGAAGTGAAGCCAGTCTGGGGTAGGTGAAAGCAGAATAAAAAGGCACTGATTTATTGAAATAGCAAATCACCAACATGTACTATTCAGATGTTGGTCCTGGGTTATGAAATCTGGATAAATGTATAAAGCAACCACAAGTTCCACCAAAACAACAGTAAAGAATTACAACTGTCAAAGGCACCTCTAAATTCCCCCTGTTTCACTGAAAGCCAGTTTTCTGCTCCTCCCCACCTTCCAGGGCACTAAATCATTTCCATCTGAGATAAAATCCTGCTTGAAATCCTGGCTCTTCAGTCGCCTTGTTCAAACCCTGATCCCTCAGGACATCTACCCTGTGCTCACTTCTGCTCTCCCCAGGTTTCAGTATCTCCCCTAAAGCAAACACATCCTTAGAAGGATTTTCCCAAAGAAGAATGGCAGCTTTTCACAAGATCTTTTTACAAAACAGATCTTTTGTTCCTTTATTTTTCTGCTCCAGCCATCATATTTCTGTTTTGCCGTTGCTTTGCTAGTGAGGCTTTGTTTTGATTATACCAAATGCGTTTGGAACTGAAAGTTTATTCCCTCCCAGCCAAGATATTTTTCTCTTTGCACTGAGGGTACACACTGGTAATTAATTCAGGCTTTCCAGTTTGTGTCACACTAAGCAAGGGGGAAGCTTGGGGAGCTGGGGCAGCCACGGGACAGCAAAGCTGAGAGCAGGAGCCCAAACCTGCTGCAGAAATCAGAACCTGTTCACAGCCTGGGGACTGCCAAGGTGACAACTTCACACCAGCCACCTTCAGATCTCGTGGGGCTCCTGAGAGCCTGGGAAAGGAAAGTCTGCAGAGCTGGAGTTTGGGAGGAGCAGGAACAGATTCCACAGAAGCAGCACTGCTCCTGTTGGGATTCTGGGAGGGAGCAGCTGTCCTCAGGCTCTCTGGACATTTAATCCATTCAGCCTATTTATGGAAGCCAAGTCCCTCTGTCCCAGCCCGTGGCACAGCCAGGTTGCAAACACTGCCTGAGCAGATCTTGTGGGATGTTGTCTGACTAGAAAACAATCCTGAGGAGTTACCTGTTCTTCAGCTCACCCATATTAGTTACCTTTCCAATCAAAAACCAACAATCCAGAAACAAGAGGATTAATAAACCCAAGTAAGTCTGTGTTGGAGTGTGGAAGCCATGGAGTAACTCCTGTGTTTGTGAGGAGAATCCAGGAATTTCTGCAAGGTCTGCACAGCAACAGAGCTGCCTTTTGCTTAACTTCAGCAGAAACCCTAATCCTGCTGCTCTTCACCCGAATCCTCCCGGGGGATCACTGGCACAGTCGTGCATCCCACAGGACCTTGTCTATCTTTTAAAGGGATAGATAAGGCTTCTGGCTGCTCCTTTGGCCTTAAAAATAGCAGACTATTTTTATTGCAGGATAAAGACTCTTTCAGTGATAATATGATTCTCATTGTGAACACTTTCCTGGTGCACTGTATCCCTTCAGAACCCTCCCCAAGAGGAGAAGCTCCGCTCTCCCCTCTGCACGGGGCTGCCTTCACGCTCTCCTCACACCTGGCTTCCCTGATTTAAAATAAAAAATCATTTGCTAAAAATGGGGAAAAGTCCAGCACAGTTAGGATTTGTATTACTCAGTGTCCAGAAAAAGTTTAAATGAATCATTTTCCCTTATGAATACATGCTGAATTAATCCTGACTCTTTCACAGCCCATCCTGTTAATTCTTACAAAATTGCAAATCTCAGATTAATTTGTGCATGTACCGGAGTTAAAACATGAAAATAAGTTCTAAAGGTTTAACATCTTTACTCATTTGTGAGTGATATTAAGTTTTTACCCTTAAAACATAATATTGAGACATGATGAACTTGAAACTTATCCAGTCTCAAAAACTTGCCTGAAGTGAATTTCAGAGACCCATCTGAT